GGGGCGCGGCCGCCCCCCCCCCCCCCCCCCCCCCCCCCTGGCTCCCCTCTGGTTACGCCCCTAGTGTGAACGGCTACTTGAGAAAGTATCAGTGTTTCTTTCATGTGCAGATGATAAGTACATTAGGCAATGCACATTCCATTATCAAGCCTGTATTTCTGTAAAATGTTAACAAACAATTTCAATTTCGAATTTTTCAAAAGTTAATGAAAGAATGCTATTCATTGTCACGCATATAAAATGTTTCAATTTGATTATTGTTTTCCCGTGCGCGTCAGTGTTGTTTTTTTATTATGCGTCTATTGCTCCCTATTTTTTTTCTGCATTTTTATTTATTTATTGTTACCTTGACAACTAAAAATAGCCTTGTTTTTTTTATATCAATCAGTCATCGAATTTTACTTTGTTTCTTGATATTGGTGTTTAAAAAAATGACTCGATCGATCAAGGTCATGCATATAAATAATAAAAAGGACTCGATTACTTTCACATTTCTACACATATCTATATATATATATATATTTATTTATTTAATTTTGCTCAGTTTTTTTCTGTATCTATATACACAATAGGATTATGATAGCTATTAGAGAGAAATCAAAAAGAAAGAAAAAGAACGAAGAAGACAGGAAAGTTCTAGAGATAAATATTACAATAAAATAAAATGTTAAGAATAGTGAACAAAAGATAAACGTTTGTGCTATAATGAGATCTTCTGTATTTACATTATAGAAGCACAAGAAGTACATAGAACAATAAATACAATTAGTTATTTTATACATGGAGTGAAGAAAAAAATAATATTGGTTTATATTTATATCTAAGACTGTAGACAAGACAAAATAGAATTAAATGAAATAAATCCATTCTCCAACATAGTTTTAAATAATACTATCGCGGTTGTGTCACTTACTTGCTGATCGATAAAGATGGAATGCATTCTCATTTTAATTTACAAGATTTTAAACTTTTTTTCTCTTAGCCACTGTTTCAAGATGAGATAGAAATAAATTAATGGAGAATAGATTTATGTGTACATATATGTTTATATCAGACATGCGACGTCAATTTCGAATCAAGCAAAAAAACAGAAAGAAAAAGCGAGAAGAGAAAAGAAAGAAACAAAGTGTTGAAATTTTTTTTTGACTTCACTATCTTCTTTTTTTTTCGTGTTTGTTCTTAATGCTCATATGAAAATTTTAAAAAGAAACTAAAACTGACACACACTTATTGGATAGCAGGAGCAACGCGACCAGAAACAACATCGGCATAGGTTGGTCGGCCAGGTAAACTAATCAATGGTTTCAATGAACTTGAAGAATTATAAGCGCGAGATATAAAAGCAAGATCAGCCAATTCCAATCGAACAACCTTATATGATGGCGATAAACGAACAATCAAATCTCGACATGACAGCAAGGCATCACTTTCAATCTTAAATACAAAAAGAATATTGCTTTTATTTCGAAAAACTATTTTTGATTTCAATCTACTTTTGCTAATTGTTGTAAATAAGTAATAGAAGCAAGCCAATCAATATTGATTTCAGGTTCTAGTGCTTGTTGTTTTTCTAGTTCTAAACTAATCAGAGCCAATGCAAGAATTCGTGGTTTAAATGTTGCCAAACGATGATGCTGTAAACATGAAGCTAATTTCAATTCTAAATCAGTATATTTTTCAACTAAAGCTCTTTGATTTTCATCGCCATAGTGTTGACTATCGGATTTAAGCAGTAAAATTGAAAAATACTAAATAAAATAGAAAAAAATCTTATTAAAAGTAAATAAAAGTACATTTCAATCTTACAATCTGTAAAAAATCTACTGATGTGACAAAATCAGCAAACCAATCGAATTTTTCTAAGATTAAACGTTCCATACGAAGAAGTTCATTTGCTGAACAACTCGCATTACAATCAATTACAAACTCAGGTGTTATGGGAATTGTATCATCTTCTTCTTTGCACTTAGCCGCTATATACAAACAACCGACAGCCAAACATTCAAGAAACTTGGGACGAACCTATATAAACACAGAGAGATCATTTTTAGAAAGTAGCTTTCTCCAAATTTTTTCCAAAATACTTTTAGTGTAGCCAAGAATCGATCAAGTAAATCAACACTTAGTGCATAAGTGTCAATACCAAAATGCATTGAAGCTGCCACTTTGCGTAGCCATGATGATGCATGATTCCGTTGAGAACTGTTCACTTCGTCCTTAAATATATGTAGTATTTTTTTAAATTTCAATTACACGACAAACCATTAAATCACATATTATTTCTGTTCAACAAATAATAAAGAAGAAAAATACACTAGAGAAGCCTTTTTTCTGAAAAGTCAATAAAACCTTATTTAGTATAAATCTAGAAGCCAGATTATTTTTATCGAACTATTTTTAAAATTAGATAATTTTGGGAGAATAGAAACGATAAAATTCATCATAAACTTTTGGTAAGTACAAGCATTTGCAACAATATTATTCTCTTTTTTAAAATTCTTTCGCACTCAACAACAACACCAGTATAGTTATCGGTAAATGGTTAAGTTTGTAGTTTTTACAAAAGAAATGGTAATTGGCCCATGAATTAATTGGGGTTTTTTTCGTTGTATTTGTGCATTATATTTTATATCAGTTGTTTTTCATGGATCATCAGTGGATCGTAAAAATCTGATTCTATATGTTTTCATGAAGTGACTTTTATTCATATTTTATGTGTATTATACGAACCATTATCATGAATTAAATATAGAATATTAAAAAATACTCATTATAACTATGAATACATTTCATTCTTTCTGATAAAGAAGTAAAACGAAATGACAGTGAATTAACTAAATTATTGACTTTCTAGATCAGTTATAGTACAAGACAAATAAGCTGAGAACATTTTATTATTCAATTTTATGAAAAAATCTATTTTGAAGGTGATAAAATAATAATCGAATAAGCCAAAAATTATTGATGGACACTGATTGTATGAAAAGGAAGAAGAAAAAAAAAGATGAAAACATTATTTATCTGTCTATATTATATTATCGCTCTTTTTTCTTTTTCTCCCTTTCTATGTCTTCAAGAAATGTAAATATGGGGTATTAACTGTTCTTATCTATATTTATCTTTCGTTTCTCCTAAAAAAAGTTATGTTGGCCTTTCACCATGATCCTTATTATTGTCAACAAGATGTAGTGTTATGCTATATATGTAAAACAACCGACAAAAATATCGGCTGGGTGAAAAGAAAAACAACAAAAACAAAAATCTTTTCTTTCTGTTTATCATCTTTTTGCATGAACAGATGTAAACAAGAAAAACTTACTAATCTCATTTGATTGAATATCCGATCTTTCCAAGTTCGTTCTTCTTTAGAACATAATCTTTCCAGGGATGATGTTAATGAATTTAATGTTAGTCCAGCTGTTCGAAGACCCACAACGACTATTACCATTTTGATTTTTTGGAGATTTATACAAAGGACTTTGTTGATAACCACTGATTATTAATACCTGTTACGAAAATAAACAAAACAATTGTATGATGCAATCATTTCTTTTCTTTTTTTCTTGATTCATTTCAAACTATGGAGCAATTACAAACCTGTTGTTGTTTTTGAACACCACTGCCCTTGCTAGCCAGTTGACGATTATTTATTTTTATGATTTATTGACTTAAGTGTGTTGGGCATTCAATTTTGGTGAAGACAGACATTACATGTTTGATGTTTTTGAACATGCCACATTGACATCGACATAATGATGATGAGGATGATGAAAATTATGAAGAAATACAAAAAATTATTTCAGAGAGTCTGCTGTTTTAGCAGTTGCTCGAATATTGATTAGAAATAAGAGGGAAATCAGACCAACATGACGATGTTACACAACTGATTTTTTTGGCCTGTTTATTTTACAATATATACTGAAAAAGAAAAAAAGAAAAAGAATATGAGCAAAATTTTTATTGGACTTGTTGTTGTTGTTGTTGACGATCTACTGCTGTCAGTCATGGTCGTCGTTGTATAGTTAACAGGCACTCCTTTTTATAGACGATTTTTTCCTCCGTTCTTTCTCTTTCTTGGTGAATCTATGTACCCATACTATAAGGAAAAAATGTCGGGTTTTTTTCTTTTTTCGTCGATGGTTTGACATCAACATCAGTAGAGAAAACGGCAAAGAAAAAGAACAGCAAAAAGAAAAAAATGTAGAAGAACGACGATGATGATCACGGGACCCGCCAGCGGAGGCAGCATAGAGGCAGATTATATGAGAAAGAACAGAAAAAAAAATGAAAATAAGACACCATCTTGTTTATCTTGTCATATAGAGGTATTATAACTATATATATATTCAACTTAACAATGTAGTGACATCTACCAGATTTTATCAGTCAATAATGAATCATGAATCGGCAAATATTTCTACTGCTGTCTGCCCGTCCGCTATCCTTCTTTTTCTTTTCTGCTTGAATAAGAAAATTCACTCTAGGTTCTAAAAGCTTTTTTCTTCGATAGTAATACCACAACAAATCATTTCTCCATATCGATCCTAATGAAAAACAGAAATAAAAGTATTTATCCATTTTATTGTTTCAAAGAAAAATTATTAGAGTAAGTGGGGTAAGTGTAAAATGAAAAATAGTGTGGCTTACAATAATTGATAACTTTTTTTATTTTACATTGAAAAAAAATGTTTTGGTCGCAAGACACCTAGCTAAGATGACACTTCATCCATAGGTACAAAAATCAACTGAAAATCCTGTACGTAGACCTATCTGCAGGGTATTCTTTGATCATCATTTTTCATGTTTACATTCCCCCCCTTTGATTCGAATAATATAATCATGCTTGCCTCACTGGGGTAAATGTATAATCTCACGAGGGAACATTCCCAAGTGGTGCGCATCGTTTGGTCTCANAATATGAGACCAAACGATGCGCACCACTTGGGAATGTTTCCTCGTCAGTAGATTTTGCTGGACACTCTAAAACTCAACTTTCATCATACTCATAAGGAATTATGAGGTGTTCTCAGCAGAAAAATAGTTCAGAATGATGAGCTTATTAATTTGGAAGCAGTTCAAAAATCAATTTCATGATTTTTATGTGGATTTTGTTTGTTATACGCGAGCGAAAGGTCAAACTACAACATAAAATAGCAGTGTTTCCAGGGAATTTCGCTAATACTGAGATTTATGTAATCTTTTATACTTCAAGAGAAATTAAGAGTCGTAATATCTGCTCTGTCACATTTTAGAGTCAGTGTACCCTTTAAAAATAGGTGAAAAGAGACGCTAAGGGTTAATTTTTCAATAAATCATTGGGTTATATGTAATAAGTAAGTGTAGAATTGTTGTCTATAGCGTCAGTAACTGATATATGATGAGTTCTAGCTGAATTTGGACACAACAGGTTGTTCAGCTCGGTCAGGTAGTTTGACCATGAAAGATTTTTTTTTTCAATGCTTCACAGTGATCTCCAAATGTAATTGTTGAACCTGATTGCAAATTCATCGAAATCTAGCGCAAAAATCATTACTATACTTTCTTTTATTAAGTTACGAGTGATTTTCGTTATATTTACGTAATAGTTCGATGAAATATCCTCGAATAATACTCTAGAAATTACTACTGTGATTGCCAAGTAAGGACTACTTAGTGGTGCTTCATGTCTCTGAATTGGTAGTTATGACTGAGTTATTGAATGTTCAAAGTAAATTTTGATAAATAGAAGTAAATTTGTTAATATAGTAACATCATCCCAAACAAATATAACGAAATAATCAGATATTGATTCAGTTGATGTTTAATTTTGAACTTGAGTGATTTTCAGGCAAATTTATTACCCACTTTAATTAAAAATGTTTACTATAGATCTAGTTTTTAGCTGAACTATTTTCGAATCTATATTAACAATAAAGATTTCGTGTTATAACTGTAATTAATATATGATCGCTATTAAACTGAAAAACTACCTTGAACTATATATTTGAACATGAGACTACTCATTCCAGAGCAAATCACATTAAATTGGGTAATACATAAGAATTTCGACAAAAAGTGTAACTTCGGTACGACATATATATATATCTTTCGATAGAGGTCACATTTTAAAGAGAAATGTGAATACATGGCGTCATTGTCTCGACAACCCATTACAAAATGTCTTCTGTTTTCTTTTTACATTATCTTTGATATAAGTTCTGCTAATTTATTTTGTTAAATGTCATACTCGAACAATAGACAGGGTCCACCTCCTGAACAATTATGGAAATCTTGGGATCGTAAAGCGCGAAAACAAGATTTTCATGCTACAATCTATTCATCTGATGGTTCACAATACAAAGGTGAATGGAAAAATGATAAAAAACATGGTAAGAGCAAACTTAATGAAATAAGAATCTAATATTTTCTTTCGCATAGAATAGGCAAAGGTATTTATATCTGGAAATCAACAGGAGATTTTTATGAAGGTGACTTTGCTAATGATATGCGAACCGGTTTCGGCACATTGACTGTCAAAACTGTTGATGGAAAATTTCAACGAAAATATGCAGGTGGCTGGAAAAATAATATGAAACATGTAAAGGAATTTGAAAGTAAATATAAAAAATTGTAATATATCATTATATTGTAGGGATATGGAAATTTATTCTTTTCGGATAATGAATATTATGAAGGTGAGTTTTATGCCGATAAAAGGAATGGATGGGGACGAATGTTTTATGCTGATGGATCAACGTATGAAGGACAATGGCTTGATGATAAACGACATGGAACGGGCATGTTACGATTAGGTTTGATTCAATTATATTCTATTTACGCATGTCATCGAATTCTTCGTTTTTACTTTTTTCCTAGCGAATGATAATCGTTATGAAGGTGAGTGGCGTGATAATAAAAAGCATGGTCATGGCAAATTTTTCTACGTTACTCGAGGTCAACTTATGGAGGGCTTATGGGTTGATGACATTTGTAAAGCAGGTCAAATAAAAGATTTTGGACGAGATCAAGCTATTTTACCGACACCTTATCCTATTCCAGATGTAAGTTTTTACATTTTTCTCTTCGGACGTTAAGGCTTTTTTGTTTAGTTATCGCTAGCACAACCTGATCAAGTTTTGGCTGAGGCTGAAGCCACATTTTCGGCGGCAGACGGATAATAAATTTGAATTAGTTTTTTTATACTTTGTTTTCTGAGACTTTAATCTATTAAAAGAGTCATTTATTTTATTGAAGAACATACATTTTTAATAATAGTCACTCAACATAAATAGACATACATATATATATATATATCACGACATTGTTTCTTCAATTCATATTAATATGCATTATCGATATCTTTTTCAATCTCATTCCTATTTAACATGATATAAATGATCAAAAATAAAAAATGATCATATATTTTTCTATTCTATGTATCTTCAATAAAATCGAAAGAAAAAACCTGAGAAATTATTTTGAAAATGATTCGATATTAAACCGTACTTCTGTGCATTAGTATTCTGATAAATTTTTAATTGAAATCTAATGTTGGCATTCAGGTAGACATTTATTAAGTTATCTGATACTATCATGGCATCAATAATAATAGGCGGCGTATATTTTATTTAGCTCAAAAATATCTACTTTGAAGTTTTCTATTACTGAAAATAACAATAAAATATCACAATCAATAATTAATCGTATTTTTATTGTGCTTTCACGGTAGAACTGGTGTCGTTTTTTTGAATAGGAGGAGTACGTAGTAGTGTATACCGCAGAAAAATAAAACATAAAGATCTGAAGTTTTGAAGTTAAACCAAGTTTAATTTAACGACAAATATTTTTACTTATCAATGGACTTATAACTGGTTGACAAAGCGAATTAAAAGTATTATTGTTTATTATATGTATATCACTATTAGATTTCTAATTTCTCTAAAACAGTTGGAAGAAGATGTTATCAGTTATTGTTATGAGCTTCAATCCATATAAAATCAGTAAGACTAGATCAATTAACTACTCGTCTAGGCATGGGTTTCAACTTCATTATTAGTAATTACAATACTATCATGCTGACTTTTTTTTCATAGAAAATGCCATTTAAAGCTGGGAGAAGCTATGTAAATGCACCAGATATGTTTTGTATGCATTGGTCTTGTATGAATAAATGAAAAAAAGCAAAAAGCGAATAACGATGGCCGAAAACGAAAACTGAGTTTTCAAAAATTTTGATCCCTCACTGCCAGCTGTTGCCATTTGGCAACATCCATACTTCCTCTTATTGTCAGTACTCATTGAATCATCTCTTTGAGTGATACAATATACAATAGATCAAGGAGGAAAAATTTACCACTAGTGACCTGTGGGATTGAATGATCGAGGATACCATAAGAACATTTATTATGATTCAGTTGTTCTTTAGGAGTATTCAGGAGGGCTCCCGTAATTTTCTCAGCTGAACGTTTTTATTTTGCTTCATGGGCTATGAGTGTGTTCTAAAATATCTTGTAGTAATTATTGAACTATTGATTCACTGTCTATCCCAGAGTCGTACACAGGGCATACTTTTCTCTCCTGTACTTGCCTGTTCTATTGGCTATTTTGGTCCTGGCTGGCGGCAGGACAATACGTTAAAGTCATGTCCTGGTTAGCGTTACTGATTTATTTCCATTTTTTCTAGTGACTGAAAACTAATTATGAGTCCGAATTTCGGACTCCAAACCCTAGCTATTCTTGATCAAAGTAAATATTAGTATTAATAATCTTAGGCTTAATGTATTTGACATCATTTTCAAATACAACAAATACGCTTTAAATTATCACTAATTTATAAATACAATAAAATAGAAAAATATCTTAACTTTCGCAGCAAGAAAAAAATATGAACAAAATTGATTGTAGCATGAATGTGATAACTTAAACTTGATACTCTTTAAAGAAACAATAAGTAATAGGCAGCGTTTTACCACAAAATAAAAATACATGGAAAATACACAAAAAAAAAGTTCCTACCAGAGACAGAGATGCGCTCAGGACATAATTTTTTTTCCTGCCCTTGTCTGTCCTGTTGGCTACCTTGGTCCTGACGGGCGACAGGGCAGGGCAAAGACCTAAATCTCATCCTGCCATCAAGGACAGGACAACAGGACCGTCCTGCCCTGTGCACGTCTCTGGTCTATCCACAGTATAGCTAGACCTTTCTTAAAATATCGGCACAATATTGCCAAATGACAACATCCGGCCGTAAAGGGTTAACATAATGCAGCGGCGATAGGCATGTTGGAATGGATCTCTTATGGCTTCACAACCTTACTTTCAAGACACCGCTACTGATCTTCAGCCACTGACAAGTAAAGAAATTGAGGCAGCGCTGATCAGTGCAACCTTACAAACGTTCTCTTCAATAACCAATCCACGAGCCAATATACTCATGAAACGAATTAGGAAGATGGGTGGCAACGTTATTGGTTCGGCCTATTCGCGTGCTTCTGTTTGCACTCAGATGCATGCTCTCATATTCAATCAGGACCTTCAGAGCATTTTCATGACTATCAATCCCGTCGACATTCATAATCGTGTCGCTCTTTATTTTGCCGGGCGTAGATCTTGATCTTGATACAATTCTACCCGAAACAATACCATCAACTGATGAACGTGCTCAAATTGTAGCTTCACACCCTGTAGCTACCGCTTGCTTTTTTAACGTGCTTATATCGTCTACTCATGAGTGTATGGTGGAAAAGGGTGTGCTGGGTCCAATTAAAGCCTATTTTGGCACAGTCGAGAGTCAGAGTCGTGGGTCATGGCATTTGCATATTCTCATGTGGCTTGACCACGATTTAACACCATCGCAGCTGAAAGAATCAGTTAAAAACGAGGAGTTTCGAAACGACCTTCTCGACTACTTGGAAGACATCATCAAACAAGATCTGAGTAACTTTGATTTTAATACTTCCGGAACAGATGGTAAACTAGTCTTTCTAAGAAATATTTCTAGATTATTTAGATATATACATTTTTAGTACCGTAACGGCCACACGCTGATTTAATTTCGAACAAATGAACGTATAATATCAACCACTGAAAGTAATACTACGAAGTTGATATCATCGATAATGCCAATCCCAAAACTATCAATGCCAAACTTTGCGTTACATTTCAAAAAATATATTGTGCAGCTGGTAAATAGCAATAATGTTCACAATCATAGAATCACATACTACAAATATTCGAAAAAATACGAGAATCCAACATGTTGTATGCGAATGTCTCGACGAATAGAAAATGTATCATCCATTAACATCGAATCGGGTGAAATTAAATTAAAACGACTTCATGAAACTATTAATAATTTCAACGAGTATATCATCAGTGCCTGCCGTTTGAACATGAACACAAAGGATATCTTTAGTGGCAGCTATGCCAAAGCACTGGTGTATTATATTATGGATTATGTAACAAAATCAAGTCTCCCGTTTCACGACACATTTTTACTCGTACTCAAAGCTATTCAATCTTAAGAAAAACAGAAGCTTCCATACCCAGGTCAAGCAAAATGGATTACGTTAACGGGTCGTTTTCTGACAATGAGCTGTGGAAATACGGTTATTTTACGATCGTAAACGATGTTATTACGTACCGTAAATAGTCCGTAATTATCCGTCATACTGGAATCAGGAATATGGCCGATATTTTATCCGTATCGTAAACACCCGTAGTCAACCGTTAACTATTATATAACAGATACAATACGATTGGCGGTTTGTTAACGCATCTCTACTGCATACGAGCATATAGACGCCATATTGTGTCCGTTTACAGATAATTTCTACTATAGATGTCTTTTGTTTCGTATAGTTATTTCTTCGTTTATTTCATATCAACAAAGCTAAAACGATATACAGGAATAGACACAAAAAAATAAGCACTTTACAATTAAATCGTGAGTATCAAACATTAGATACATATTAACAAAAAAAGTCATAAAACCAAAAAAAAAATGTCCATTTCATCAGACACGTACTAAGCAATGAAATACGCAGATTTTAGTGCTTTTCAAATAAGAGAAAACGAATTTTTTTTATTATGCAATAACTGACGGCTTCATGAGCCATTACAGTACAATGAGTATGGAAAAGAAAGAGAGACATGAACCATTGTGACAGGACAGCATCAAAGATAAGATAAGACATACATGAACATACATTAACAGACAAAACACAAGGACAAAACAAGAGACATACATAAAGAGACATAGAAGACGCGGACACGGACACACGCTGTACATTAGTTGAACAACACACATATACAAACAGATCAGCAGCGATAAGAAAAATCTTCATGACAAGGAAGAAAGAAAAGGGAAGAGAGAGGCACGAAATAAGAGAACTGAGGCGAGAAGAAAAGAACGAAGTAGTCTTTATAGAAAGGTCTCCGGGAAGTTCATGAGGAGATCAATTTCGTCGAGTTCAAAATCTGGGCTTGGGACAGTGGGAGTGTTATCCTCCAACCAATTGAGAATTTTCTCAAGAACGGACACGTTCTCAACATAACGCTTAGAGATTCTAACCCCCTTAATGAAGAATTCCTTGGCTCTCCATGACTTTCTAAATTCATTTAGAGACGCTCTTTCGAATAATAGTTCACCGTCAATTGAGTCTGACAGCGCAATAAAATATTTGCACCAATAACGAACGCATCTATCTGTTAAGGAAGACTCATTTAACACAAAGGCCACGAAGTAGTCGTTCTACCCCAGACAGTGGAGTGTGTTTTTCAAACACGTGAAATAGAAACGGCTGAGGTCTCTGCGTTGCTTTTCGGAGAAAAGCGGAAAAACTGGATACAACCAGGTAAAAATCGGTAGGATATACGACAAGAACAGCACTCTTCTGAGCGTAGAGGATGTTCTACCCTCAAATCTAAATGAGTTCAACATAGCTAGCCGTTGTCTGATTTTAGTCTTCGACCTAGATATCATCTTGTCCCACCCAATTTTGGGTGTGACCCAGCACCCGAGGTACTTATATTCGTTGGTTCAACCGATTTTATGATTATTGACATCTAATTGGAAGCGGGGGAGGCCAATCGCTCTGGCGCTCCAGAGACCAACCGTTTTGTTATAGTTAATTGGCTGGTCCGTGAATAGACAGTAGAACTCAAGCTGGTCAATGCAAGATTTGAGTTTCTTCTCTAAATCTAAGCATTGCTGACTAAATTTAGTACCAATTTGTCCTGCTACAATTGCTGCTAGGTCATCCGCAAAAAAGTGTGATAAACAACAAGATAGAAACTCTGACATGTCCGCATGGTACGAAATAAAAATTGTAGGAGTCAAAATTCCTCCTTGAGGACCTTTTTTTCGATTTTAAACCATCTCCACTTAACATTATTTATCTCAATGTAACCTCTGCGATTTGTTAACCAAGCGTAAATCCATTTCGAGTACGCTATGGGTATACCCATTTGTCGGAGCTTACCAACACGCCCATCGTACCAAAGCATATCAAAGGCGCTCTTGAAATCGACAAATAAGGTAGCGACTGGGTAGCTATTCGACAAAAGACTAAATAAATCTTCTAAAAGCACTAATAGTCTGGTCTGCAGTCTAAATCGTTCTCTGAAGCCGGATTGATTATTCGGAAGAAGACCTCGTCTGTCTAAAACATCTTTGAATCTCATCAGAAATAATTTCTCACCAACTTTCTGAAACGTGTCTAAAAGCGATATCGGCCGAGTGAGGGCTGGCAGGCAAATAGAATCTTTTTTTGCTAAAAGAATCATTCTGGCGTCTTTCCAAGCAGTCGGCAGTGTTGCCTTTACAAACGAAAAATTGTATAGCTTGAGAAGCAACGACCAGTAGGACTGGTGCAAATAGTTAAAAACATAAAGTTGTCTAATCCATGCGCATCACAGGATTTCTTTTTTTTCTTTAATATTACCACCTGTAGTAGTTCATATAATGTTATTTCTGGTATTAGATCGTTTTTATTATCGAAATCCGTCCATGGTGCGTCAGCGTAAGGATGAAGTCTTAGTATAGTATTGGATTTACGAAAAAAATCTTCATAATAATCTGCAGCAACCTCACACATTTTGGATGAGTCATACACTACTTCACCAGTGTGGGTCAGGAGCGCATTCAGTGATGACGAGGACGGTTTGATAAAACGTTTAGTTTTTGACCAAAAGTTAACCGATATCGAGGAAGAATTGTGGCGATGTCCAAGAGCTAAAGAGAGCTGTGACGAGATAAATTTTTCAAGTTCGAGCTTTGCTATTTTTCTTAAACCATTGACACGATTTTTTAGTTCAATATTTTTGTTTCTCATTCGACGAAATGAAAGAGCTCTAATGTAAGAAAGAAAAGCACGCAAATCCGCTGGGATCGCTACTCTATATTGACTTAGCGGGAAAAGTATCGAACATCGTGCTATAAGAAGACCTAGAAATTGCACGTAATCATTATGTGTATCATCAACGTCGTTAAGAAGCCATCGTACTTCCCAATAGGGAAAAGTAAATTCTGTGACCAAATTAAAAACTTTCCAGTGAACTGATTTTCCTTTACATTTATCTTTTATTTTCGTTAAGAGAACAGCTAAGACCGGGAGGTGATCACTCGTGGTATTACCGCTGTATGTTTGAATATCTATGCTCGCTCTATTCGAGAACGCAAAGTCTATAATTCTGTTTGAACGACGTGATGTAGGGGCTTCCGGGGCGAACGGTGCTAAAGAATGTAGATCTGCCCACTCCAACAAGGTTTCCGCTTTACTCGCATCCATTTCTAAATCAATATTAAAGTCACCAAAAAGTACGCAGTTATTAGTTATGAAAGGAGAAATTTGCTCCCAATTCCACGAGCGACTTTCCGAAGCATAAACACCTACTATTCTGGTTGTTTCTTCGGTTAAAACATCAACAGCACAAACATTAGGTAAGATGCACTCCACTCGTTTAACATTAAGAGAATTTTTAACCATAATTACGGCACCACCGTTCCTATTTTCTCCTTTTTGATAAAAGATTTTGAAGTTGGAGAACGTCTGAGTAAATAAAAGAAAGATCGAAATCTCCCGTTTCTAAAAGAATCAAAATATCCCTATTGAAAGAGTTTGTTATAAGAAGCACTTCGTGCCACTCTGAAAAAAATAAAGGAGGTTTACAGAACCCTCCGAAAAGGTTCTGTAGATTTTCAAAATGCTCCAAATGTGTTCAAAGTCTCAAAA